CAGCCTCCATGTCTCCAGTGTCTTTTCCCCCACTTGGAGCCGAACCCAGAAGGACATTTCTTCCAACAGTTACTTATATATGTTTTTCTGTTTCCTTTGTTTTGTATTATGTTCTTGTTGATAAAGCATAATATATACAAGAAACAAGTGTAACAATAGTTGATATTGTGCATAGACATCCATGGAATTATAAAAAAAAAAAGTCCATAGAGTGAACACAGATGCATGATATTCCTGCCACTCCAAAAAACCAACTGGGACTTCAATTATGCAACCATGACTGCCATCTTGCCTTGGATGGTCCTCTTTTGTGGTTTGTACCTAAACTGGAACCTAGGTGTTTCTAAATTTCGCTCTTTATAAGGAAAGAAGTGGGGATATTGCATTCCATTTAGGAACCAAAATGCCTGATGTGATGAGGTGGGGTGGGTTAGGGTTATGTGGGGGGAGAACAGGAGCAAAAATCAAAGGCTCGGGGCTTTGTTGCTGATGGTGCAGGTAGATTTCGGCAGTGACAGTGTTAAATGAGGTGGGGGAATGGAGAGGAGTGAAGGGGGAAAGCTGGTACGCAGCCTCTGCAGAGGAAGACAACCCTAACCTTATTTCCTAACTGTACAAATTCACTCCTGGTTCACCCAGGGTATTAGACTGCTTGGTTGAAATTTCAGGAAAGGAATTTCAAACTTCAGATTTCTGGTAGCGAAAGCTGTTAGAACTGTTGGGAGAAATGTCCTTCTGGATTCAGCTCCAAGTGGGGGAAAAGACAATGGAGACATGGCGGCTGTCCATTTCTGATCCAGGGAAATGTAATATTCTGCCTTTTCAATATTTCTTAGGATATTTCATTTTTTCATTTTTCTATAAGAGGGGTGGATGCTAACTTCCTACAGAACCTTTAACCCTTGGAACTTTTTGTTTCAAAGGTGGGCGGATGGTTTAGTGGACTTTTGCACTGAGCTTGTACGCTTGAATCAGAAGATTTATGGGATTCTTTAAAATTTACATAATCCACAATTTAAGATCCAGCAACATTTAAAAACAGCTGGCACATACATCACCCATCGAAAATCTGAAACCTTGCATTCAATTTGATTTAATAATAAACATTTAGTCTCCTTCAAGCAGAGCATCTTTGATAAATGACCTCAGATATTTGAAGAATAAAAACTCTTATATCTGGAAGATTGAGTGGATCAAATATTTGTTCACCTGAATTTTGTACATGGAAATGGAGAACCCGCTTTATAAAAGAATATATATCTTCAGGGTTTTCAAATGTGTTGTTGCCATGGTGGTCCTTTAAAGTGCTCACTCTGCAAAATCATGAAGGAAAAATTATTTTCTTTAGATTTGAATATAAATGAATTAAATTTTGCCATCTTGAACTTACACACAAATTGAAATATAACTATTGTTTGAAGTGCCATATATTACTGAAGTTTTCGATGCATTTACTAATTAAAATCTAATTAAAAGGCATAGATACCTACATACATAAATCTGCAGTAGTTGTATCATGCACCAATCCTGACAATAAGACAATAAGATAAAACACTGAGCACAAAAAGAAAACAAATAAAATGAAAGGTGCCTAAAAATAACCCAGAGTCAAAAGCAGGTTCAAAGAAAAAGACAAAATTAATAATGGTTGGAAACATCTCTTTCTCTGAAAGAGGGTATTACAAATAGTGCAGCCTCCATTTAGAAGGCTTGTCCCCTAGTCAGTCTGGGAGCCTCAACAGATGCCCTCTAGAGATCTTGATTGCATGACTCTGTCCTAGTTGTCTATGCCACACAGGGCTTTAAAGTTAATAGTCAATACCTTAAATCTGGCCCAGAAGGACACTGACAACAAATGCAGTAATTTGTTGTTTTTCTTTGCTAGAGTGGGATACTCATAAATGTAGTTATTACTTTCTGCACCATCTGTACCCTTTGGGTCATTTCCAAAGGTAGTTTCATATACAGAACATTATATGCCATCTATAATTTATTTGCAACATCCATGTAAAAGTGTATTATATTAGGTATATTATTTGCAAGGATTGAGTATATTAGATAACATTGGTAAAAAAAAAAACATATACCTTTGGAAGAGTTGTGCACTAAATGATATACAAATCTTAGCACAAATTTGGAAAGGCATGCCCATGCTTGATAAACTGAAATTGACCAGTTCACAAAAAGGAGGAACTATAACAAAAACAATTTTACCTATTTGCAGATTTTAAAATGCTACCCAATTATTATTAATAGCATTCCCATGTGGTTGGTTCCAAGTTGCTGGAGCTTATTATAACAGAATAAAAGAGTTGAAAGGGAGTTTGGAGGCTCTAGCCTAGTCCAATCTCTGCTCAAGCAGGAGACATATACTATTCCACATAAGTGGCTGTCCAGTCTCTTCTTAAAAGCCTCCAGTGATGGAGCTTCCACAACTTCTGGAGGCAAGCTATTCCACTGGTTAATTGTTCTTACTGATAGGAAATTTTCTAGGTTCCATAGTTCTGATTAGTTTCCAATCATTATTTCTTGTCCTGCTTTCTATTTTTGGAAAATAGTTTGACCATCTTGTCTTTGTAGGAGCCCCTCAAATATTGGAATAGTATTATTTGAGAAAATATACTTTGGATGAAAGGCACAGAATTGTACGTACATGGCTGCAAGGGAATCACAGCTCAGGTCACTAGGTAGGAAACCAAGATTCTGGGCATTCAGGCTACTCAGGAAAAAGTGGAGCCGTTGTCCAAACCATGTGTCATAATCTGCTGGGGTGAAGAGATGGATGAAGCCACTCAAGTGACAGAAAACCTCATTCAGGATGAACCGCCTCATCTCCAAGTGGGGCAGTAGAGACAGATGACGCTTGGAGAATAAAGAAGAAAACACAATCTTAGGATGTTTCTTCCCAGCCAACAATTGTTGAGCAGAATTCCTTGAAACAGAAGTGTATTACTTTGAGAAGACACTGAGCATCCACTGAGGGTTAGAAAACTGATTGTGAACATGAGAAAGGACTGAAACCCTGCCTTTTCATGTACCTCTTAAAAGGGGTAGGCACCAATCATCCAGATGTGGCTGCCATCTTAACTTTTGCAACACCCTCCACTAATCCATGGTCATCCTACAACTGAGTGAAGGTGGCCCTTGTTATTAGCAGTCTTGTTCTAGACCTCTCTCCATGAAGGAGGCCATACCTCCCTTAAGGTGACATGTATGGGATGCATTACCTCTTCTCCAAGATGGTATCCAGGCCAAAATGTTCAGATCAAATTGAAATATTCAAGACTCATAGGATTCTGCTCTTTGGTCCCCAGAATTACATCATATTGTAACATTTGATTTTCCCAGTAGATTTGAAACAGCAGATTTTAGGAATAAAGCCGTCTAAATAGCTAAAAGCATCCAAGTCAATTGAATCTGATTCAGAAAGTTAACCCAATTTAAAGCTTAAGTTGGCACGCCTTCATACTGAATAGCCAAATCAAGAGCCTAAAGGCACAATCAACAAAGTAAGAATTATGGACTTTAATGGCATTTTAATGCACAAATTAAGGTATAAAGTACACAACCTTGGAAACTGTGATAGGAATTTCCAGCCCTCTTGTGCAAGTGAATTTGTTAAAAGAGAGTCTTTGAACAATTAGAATCTTTTTTACAACAGGGGCTGTGTTGCCATTTATGAAATAAGTGAACTACAAATTTATAAAGATTTTTCAAATTACTCTGGAGGATTCGTGACTCTCATCCAGACTAAATAGCCAAACCAAATTGGAGGACTAAGTTCCTTCCATTGTAGTTTATCCCTCCAGCAACATGACACAGGTGCCAATGAAATCCAGTCCTGTCCCTGTCCCCTTATCATCAAGTTACTGAGGGACTGTGAAAAGAAGGAAACTCCCCCGCCCCTCTGTGTGTGTGTGTAAGTGTGTGTATGTCTGACCTGGTTGGCAACAGCATTGAGAGCATCCATAAACTCTGCAATATCCTGTGATTCAAGAGCCCCAAAGACCTTCCGGGCTTTGTCTGTGTCACGCAGAACACCACCTCCTAATGTGTAGTCAGCCAGTTGCCATGGAGAGAGACCTGCCACTGCATCCAGCTGTGGAAACAAATTCATGTGATTTTAAATCGAAGAAATTTAAGGCTGAACCCGATGTCCTTTCCAGCCTCCCTCCTTTTTCGTCTCCTCTTTTAGCCAATGCTTTATTTACTGCATTAAAATCTGGATTCAGGCCAGTCAGGTCTTGATAAGTGGCTAATTTGCTGAAGCGTTTAAAATTGGCATTTAACCAGTCCAAGCTGCCCCGGGTATTTTCAATGCAAGGATCACCTGCAAAGACAAAAGGCAGCATCAGAAAAATGGTGTAATGCTTCTGTGGGCCTGTGAATTAAAGGGCTAAAAGGGGAGCAGATGTGGGATTACTTCTCACAGAGCACACAATTAAGAACCACACATATTACTTTTTCAACATTTTAAATTTAAAATCATTTTTCTAAATTTCTCAAAGTTTCTTGTCTCTCCCCCCCCCCCCTCACTTCTCTTTTCCATAGCGGATCTCTATAGAAATTAAATTAATAGAAATTAAAACACAAGCTAGGTTTAGATGAGAAATTTGTGTTCTTTGTATACATAAATTTAAATTTAGTTATTTGAAATACCCTGAGTTCTGCAATTCAGTTTGCCAAAACTGTAACAGAGGAAAGTCTTTATCAAAAGGCACATGCAGTGTTCATGACAACAATGTGTTTCATTTGGAAAAATATTTAGCAAAAAAAATGAGGCAAAATTGGAAAGCAAACCTGCATGTATTAGGAAAGTGATTTCAGGACAAATATTAAAAAAAAAGGATTCTCAAGTATGAAGTATCAAATTTATCAAACTGAAAAAAGAGGAATTGTAAGGAATCGAAATTGATATATCTCTTATTCCACAGCAAAATGCAGGTTTAAAACAGTTTTAAATTCTATTGTGTTAATAGTTTGACATATTACTAATTTATTAAAAACAATAAAGTAAAAAAAATGTCCCAGTTAAATGATATAAAAATGTATGAAAAAGTAAAAGAAGAACATCACAAGGAAGCTGCATTTATGAAGACCAGGAGGCTTTTTCACTCCCACCTCCAAATAAATTACACTGTCTACAACTAGGGGAGACAAAATCCATGATCAACTCTTCAAATGTATGTAGATAACACATGTATCATATGGAATCCAAGAGCATCTGGAAGGAGTCAAAAAGTGGTACAACCCTGAGGGAGGAGCCAACGTCGCGACGACACATCGCGTGGACTCTATATTTCTGTTTTAAAAAAGCAACTGACAGCACATTCTTGATAACTAGTAAGAGACTTTGAGCTGCTTTGTGAGGGCCAATTTCTTTATAAAGTATAAAGGGTTTTCTTTATACATAGTCCTTGTTTAACAATTGCCTTGTTTAGTGATTGCTCTAATGTATAATGGTGCTGAAAAAGTAACTTTATGACCAGTCCTCTCATTACAACTGTCACTATGTCCTGTGGTCACATGATTGCTATTTGTATGCTTCACAACCGGCTTCCAACATGAAGACTCAATGGAGAAGTCGGTAATAAAATTGCAAGTCACATCCTGCAATATGTCACTTAATGAACTGCAGCAGAAGTGAGGTTGTAAGCAGTTGGCGATGAAATTCCTGGTCCCAAATGTGGCTGTTCAATGACGACTACCTATATAAGGGGAAGTATTTAAGCATACATCTATGGAGAGTCTCTGCCATCCAGGTCCTGGTTATTCTAAAGGGGTTATTAAGAGGCTACTAGACTCTGGTTTTCTTTCAGCCTTTCATTTCTTTTCTCATCCAAGAAGCTTCTTTAGTTCCGATGGCTGACTCTGTGGCTGTGAGACCTACAATTGGTAGCTGTGCTGGTAGTTACTGCAAAGTTCAGTCCTTTGGCCGAATTATTTTTTTGTTTGGGTTAGCTCTCTGTCAGACAGATTTCTCACCTATCGATCAGTTTTCTGAGACATGTCCCTGTCCATCTGGGTTGGTTCTTCTGTTTTGTGTGGGTTTTTTTTCTCGTCTAAGCTATAGGATAACAAATTTGCCTTTTTGTCATTCTTTGCTCTTGCTGTGTTGTGCTAGTTGCCCCTTCTTTATAAATTCTGTGACATGTTTCAATACTTCTGTTGGTAGAAACGATTTCAGTTCAAAATCTCAATTGTAAAATTAATTTGTCTCATTTTTTCATTGAGAGGTTGGAGCTGTGCTTTCTGAGGATGTTTTCTCCCGTGTCCCTTCATTGTTGAACACAGATGCAGAATGTTGGGGAGGAGTCTGTGTTGTCTTGCATTTCAAACTGCAGTGCAAACAGTTCCTGTAGTCTGCAATTTTTCTGGAAAGCCGTTCATCATCATCATCATCATCACACCATTTGAAGGGGGTTTCATCCCAAAGTGCATAGCTACATGTTTGCTAAATGTCTGTGGAGATTCTCAATCATCCCTGGTTGTCATGGTTGTCCTAAACATGCTTTTTCAAGAGTCAGAGCTGAAGAAGCTTCTTGGATGAGAAGCAAAACATCTTCAAAGAAAAACAAGAAAGTCCAGTTGCCTCTTGAAAAAACACCTTTGGGATTATTTAAGCATACATGTTTGAAGTAGTGCAGTCCAAGCTTGTTCTCTATGCTGTTAAGTCCAGCCTGAGTTCTACCTGATTTGCTTTTTATTACAGTAGCCCTCTCAAAAAAAAAGAAAAAGAAAAAGAAAATTGTAGTTCTTACCTCCTTGAGAAATCTTGGAAGTCAAATAGTCTATGGCAAACTTGTAAACATCTTGACAATTTTCTGGTGACATCTGTGAGAAACTCCTATCCAAGCCAGCCATTCTGAGCAGGGAGAAAAAGAGGAAACAGAGCAAATCTTTATGGTAGTAAATTTGGGTCTGGAGTCAAATTTACGGTGATAGGGAGAATTTAGACTCCTAGATTTGGATATAGAATTCAGAAAAAAGAGTTAGAATTTATTAATAATTAAAATAATATTACCACCAATGGGATACTAATTTGATATGGTTGTGGGGCATGTGTCCTCTGAGGTAGGTGAGAGCTAGCCAGAGAGCTAGCCAGCAACCATACTGGACAGATCTCAGCAGAGAACTATTCTATTATCCTATCCTATCCTATCCTATCCTATCCTATCCTATCCTATCCTATCCTATCCTATCCTATCCTATCCTATCCTATCCTATCCCCTTATTCTATTTCCTTGTTCTATTCTATTTCTTCATTCTATTTCCTTATTATTCTATTCTATTCTATTCCTGATTATATTCCATTCCATTTGTCAAGAGAATGAAGAATATTTTAAAGTTGAAACTCAGTGGAGGAAATACCATCGAGGCAAATTAATACCTGGTAATTCTAGTCATTAGATACACTGATGGAACAGAGGATTGGACTCAAGCAGTTCTGTGTATAGGAAGACCAGAAAACTAATGACAATGAATTATGCCCTTCATCTTCATAGCGATATTGACAGGCTTTACTTCACAAGGAAAATAGGAGGGTGAGTAATGTTGCAAATACATCAGATAACTGAAGAAGAAAGAAGAGCATTGGAAGAATATATGAAGGACAGTAAAGATATAGTGAATACTAGGAAGGCTTTCTGAGTACTGGAGAAATCAAACTGGCCTACAAGAAAGAGCAAATGAAGAACAGAATGGAGGCATGCAAAGACAAAGCATTACATGGCCAGAACATTAAAAAAAATAGGCTAAGGCAATAATAACAAGTTTTTGCAATGGCTAAAAGTAAGAAATTTGAAGAAAGACGTGGAGGGGTTAATTCTAGCTGCACAAGACCAAGCCTTAAGGACAAATACATACAAAGTAAGAATTGAGAAGACAGCTAGAGATAGCAAGTGCAAAGAAACTGAAGAAAAACAGTGGATCACTTGTTTAACTGTTATAAGAAGATCGTACAGACTGACTACAAGCAAGGGCATGACAAAGTAGCAACAATTTCCAATTGCATTGGAAGATCTGCAAGAAATACCACTTGCTTGCAAGCAAGAACTAATGGGACCATAAAATAAGAGAAGGTAATAGAAAATTAAGAAGCTAAAGTATTTTGAGTCTTTAGAATTCAAACTGACATAATACACCAGACTTAACAATTCACTACCTCAGAATTACAGGATTCTATCTGACATTTTCATTGAAAATGAGTTAAGAGTATGACAAGGTTCTATATACCATGACTTAATTTTTTAACAACTTATTTCATAAAATTTCTAAATAGAGTTGCCAAAAATAGCAAAAGTACAAGGTTCCATTTACACTATCGCACAAAAACTCAGAACTACAGAGTTTTATTTGCAGCATCTAATTGTAGTGCTTGGCTGCTCCCATGTGACGGAGCAAGGATGGAACCTGCAGCGCCTAGTGTTGCCTCTGTTTCTGGACACGTGAATACTGAAATAATGTCTCTTTTCCATAATATGGAAGCAAGTTCAGACTTATAAGAACCAAGTGGATCCGAGTATGTTCCAAAAACTGAAGATGACCAATCAGATATGGAACTTTTAATTGAAAACGAGTGACTATTCTAAAGTAGGATGTAAAGTGAGATTTGGACACTAAGTGTGAAACCTACTGGGTCAGGCTGGACAGCCTCTTGGGGCCCCTTTACTTTTATATTATGGAAAAGAGACATTATTTCAGTATTCACGTGTCCAGAAACAGAGGCAACACTAGGCGCTGCAGGTTCCATCCTTGCTCCGTCACATGGGAGCAGCCAAGCACTACA